AACATTAATAAAAATTAAATTGTTCAGAGAAGTTTTATAGCAAGATGTCTTAAATAATGGGTAGAATTTTCATGGGGGAAGACATGCTAGATAGAAGAAAATCTGAACAATGGGTACTCTTTCTGGATCCATACTTATTTTATAATTCATTTTTCTCATGTTAGAGAAATTAGAGAATAATATTGATACATAGAAAAAAACATATTTTATAAGACATTGAAGATGGGTACAGTGAGTTAGATTGACTTTACAAAAAGTAAGAATGTAGAGATGTGCCCGACTGGTGTGGATCAATGGTTAAGCTTCAATCTATCAACTACTAGGAGGTCAAGGTTCAATTCCAGGTCAGAGAACATGCCTGGATTGCTGTAGGCTAGGTCTCCAGTAGTTGTGCAAGAGGCAACCTGTGAATGACTCTCATCATTGATACTTCTGTATCACTCTGGGTTCATTTTCTCTCTCTGAAATCAATTAAAAAAAAAAGGGAGGGGGAAGAATGCAGAGTCATTAATTTTAGGGGTATAACATTGAATTAAAAGGGACTTAAGAAATATCATTAACTTAGTATATTTGGTTTGTTGGTTACGCATAGTATGCAGATCATAGAGTGTTTATAAACTTTCTTATGCTTTTTCTAATTATTATATTGTGTGTAAATATATTTTCCTAACCATAGTGTAGTTAATCAAGCAACAGATTTCTTTGTGGTGCGGGCAGAAAACAGCCAGGGAATTTATTTTATGTGTCTATTTGTCTCATTATTTCAGGCCAAACTTAATGTATTGAGTTCTTTGATTTAATCTCTTGAAATCCTATAACCCTTCTATCATCCTCATTTGTTAATGAAGAGCTTGTAAATGCATATTTATTAATGAATGTGTGATATATTTTATGGATTGAAGAAATTGAATATCAATTCCTAATATTTACCCCACTCACTATCAAATGAGGAAGTGGTACACGAGGAATAAAAGCCAAATGGATGCATATATCACTTCTGATTGGTGTTTCTGGTTTCTTGGGATATATTCCTAGAAGTGGGAATACTGGGTCAAATGTGAATTCCATTTATAACTTCTTGAGGAAACTCCCTACTGCTTTCTACAGTGGCTGCACCAATCTGCATTCCCACCAGCAGTGCAGGAGGGTTCCTTTTTCTCTAATCCTCACCAGCACTTATCCTTTGTTGATTTGTTGATGATAGCCATTCTGACAGGTGTAAGATGGTATCACGTTGTTTTGATTTGCATCTCTCAGGTGATTAGTGATTTTGAACATGTTTTCATATGTCTCTCAACCTTCTCTATGTCCTCTTTCAAAAAGTGTCTATTTAGGTCCTTTGCCCATTTTTGATTGGGTTATCTTCCTTTTAAGATGTATGAGTTCCCTGTAAATTTTGGAGATTAGACACTTATCTGAAATATCATTGGCAAATACATTCTCCCTTGCAGTTTGCCTTCTTATTGTTTTGTTGATGGCTTCTTTTGCTGTGCAGAAGCTTTTTATTTTGATGTAGTACCATTGGTTTATTTTCTCCTTAGTTTCCATTATCCTAGGAGCTGTATCGGTAAAGATATTGCTATGATATATGTCTTATATTTTGCTGCCTATGGAGTCTTCTAATATTTTTTATGGTTTCCTGTCTTATGTTTAAGTCCTTTATACATTTTGAGTTTGTTTTTGTATAAGGTGTAAGTTGATGATCCAGTTTTACTTTTTTTTGCATGTATCTGTCCAATTTTACAGCACCATTTATTAAAGAGACTGTCTTGACTCCAGTGTATGCTCTTGCTTCCTTTGTCAAATATTAATTGAGCATAATGGCTGGGGTCTATTTCTGAGTTCTCTGTTCTGTTTCTTGGTCTATATGTTAGTTCTTGTGCCAGTACCAGGCAGTTTTGAAAACAGTGGCTTTGTAATGTAGCTTTATATCTGGATAATGATCCGTTACAATAGTTAAGACTTGGAAACTGCCTATAAGCACCCATCAGTAGATGAGTGAATTAAAAAACTGTGGTACATCTATACAATGGAATGCTACGCTGTTATAAAAAAAAAAAAGGAATTTTTACCACTTGCTGCAGCATGGATGGAACTGGAGAGCATTATGCTAAGCTAAATAAGCTAGTCAGAGAAAGATAAATATAACATGACCTCACTCATATGTGAGATATAATGATCAACATAAACTGATGAACAAATATAGATCTAGAGACAAGGTATCACTGAACAGAATATTCAACCTCAGAGAGAAGGCAGGGGAGGAGGTGGTTAGAGATCAACCAAAGGACTTGCATGCATGCATATTAGCATAACCAATGGACAGACACTGGGTCAGTGGGGACTTGCCCTCAGGGGTGGGAATGGCTGGGGTGGTCATTCAGGGGGAAAGGAGACATATGTAATACTTTAAACAATAATAAAATAAAATAAAAAGCCAAATGGATAATGAATTGCTACTATATTAGTAGTTTGGTAAGCTCCTTACAAATCCCCAAAGAAGTTCCTTCCTGGGAAACCAAGTTAAGCTATAGTATGAACTCAAGGCAGCCTAATTCTTCTGCTTGTTCCACTTCATAAATTTGACATTCCTGGGTCATCTCTTTCCACATAACTGCATGACAGTAAGAGATAAGCATGGAGGGCTTTTCCTTAGGAAGCCAGTTCACCCCATGGACTTCCAGTATGGAAAACCTAAAGGGAAAGAGCAAAATGCAGACTAGTTCATAGGGTCCAGGCCCTCTTATCACATCAATTGTGTGGTCACAAGAAAGCAGAGGGCAGTAATATTGACTCATGAAACAAAAAAGAGAAGGTACCTACCTGCCTGTAAGGCAGAACAAAACTTGGTACAATGAATGTCCAAAGGATAAATAATTGCAATATAATGTGACAAATGTTAAAATAGATATCTACTAGACAGCAGTGACACAAATGTGGAAGTAATTAATTCTTTGTGTGAATCAGGAAGGTTTCTATGAGAAAGATACATTATGGATAAGTAGATGTTTGTCAGAGTAATGATGGTAACAAGGAGAAAATTCCAGAAATAGAGGATTAGGTAATAGAGAACAAGTTTTGAGAAAAATCAGCAGCTTGGTATGACTAAAGAAATGTTGATAGGGCAAAAGTGAAAACCAGGGAGGTAAGAGGATATGAGAAGGTCTGAAATCTCATGAGAAAGAATATGTTTCATATTCTGACAGGCTCCCTCTTATACCTCCTTTTTTACTTATATAAGGGATTTTGTGATTACATTGGGCCAATCAGAAAATTCATGACGCTCTTCCCATGTGAAGGTCAGCTGATTATCAACCTAAATTCTTCTCTCCATGCAACCTAAAATAGTCATACATTATGACTTAGGGTATGGACATTTTGGAGGGTCATTATTCCGCCTCTCACCCCCAGTTTTTATACATGGATTGAACAGATTACTTTTCCATATAGCATTCCCAAAACACTGTCCTATAATGACAATGACAATAATAGGCCATGGGTTTATTATATAAGAGATAAAAAATAATAAAAAGTTATTATCACGGACAGTCTAAAAATGTATAAGCCATATTGGCAGGTGGCTCATCTTTCCTGAGAAAAGGACTTCACAAAGCAGTAGCAGGATTCATTTAGATAACATTTTATTTGTTAGAGGAAGATCTGACAGACTGCATTTCAAAAGCTGGAGAAATTAAAATCACAGCATTTAGCTTATTGGCATACTCTTACAGGTTAGAACAGAACAGTGACATATTTGAAATCTTCGTCACTGCTTCTTCATTTTAATGAGACGATTTGAGGATAGATATCAGCAGTACATTTAAACAAATATGCTTTAATAAATAGTGGAAAACTGTCAGAAAATAGATCCACTGTGAAAATTTTGAAAGTTCTAAGTGATTTCTTTGTCATAAATAACACTTTGAAGTGTGTACTTTTCTAAACAGAAAAAAAGCAATTCACTTTATGAATACTTCCCTACTTACAATGCCCTTTTAAAAACAGTAAGTTAAAAGGGAATATTGCAATGTAAACTATAATATTTTTTGAAATTAAACAAATAAGGAACTCCAATATACCAGTGAAAAATACAAACACTGATGGTCACAGAATAGAAAGCTTCAGCTTTATGTACAGGCATGAACAATACTATATTTTGACACATTTGTGCATTACTGATTGAGCATTTGAAGTTACAATCTGTGAAGTAAGTATAGAAATAGCATATGCCTCATTCTAATGTTAATGTAAAAACAGAACAGAAATGTGTGTTTTCTTTCTTTTGTGAAGCTGTGCAGTTTTTAGAAATATTGGAAAAGAAAATGAATATAACAAATACAGGTTCAAGTTATTTTTATTTTATTTTTTAGGTGCAAGTTATTTTGGTAGAAATTTATGTTCAGAACAATTCATGAAACGGTAAGATGTGTTTATTCAATTGTTTATTTTATCTCTATAATTTCTCATGTAGTTTATAAAAAACATCCAAGTCCATTCAAAATACATTCCATTGTTATGATAGTCATTCCCTTTCTACTATTTTATATTCTGCTCCTTTATTCTCTTATGTTCCACTTTCTGTAACAGAGCTCATTACCAAGGTGATAGGGGACTAGTTTTAAAGTCAACATGAGTCATAAAATATCAAGCCAGTGGTTTCCTTCAGGACATTCATATATTTCTTGTGTTAGAAAGAAAATCTATCCTTGGGCACAGTGATATCACTCCTGAGAAACCAATTACTTTCCAAATATCTGTAATACTATTTTTGACATAACTAACTAAGTCATGTCGGGAAGTATATTATAGCTACCTGGTACATAATTTCACCTCTTATTATATTCAGTTCCTACACTGTAAACAGAAAAACCGATTTAAAATATTTGATTATCTAGTAATTAATAATTAGATCATTTGTTTGAGTCACTTTCATGCATTGGCCATCCACAGCTTGGCTTTTTCAGTTATGTGTAGCAATAATTATCCATAGTTTCCTCTGTTTACCTTAAACATCCAAAACAACAAGGGACATTTTTGAACAACCTATAATATTCTTCCTGGATCTAAAGAAAAGCAAAAGGGGAGAGAGAAATATTAAATATAATTTCAACAATCACATCAAATTATTTTCAAATCACATTACATTGTTATGTTTTCCAAATTATTACTGCCTTCTAATTATCTGTGAGAATATGCTCAAATGAATGTAAGCTATATTTAGAGTCCTACCGTAGTAGCAAGTTTATAAAAAGCATCTTTTTCTAAGAACAGGTAGGTGTTCTGATCCTTTTTTATACTAAAATGCATTGCATTTAGGCAATAAAGTCACCAGTCATGCCTTTATTTAGAATAGGATGGTTATCGATTTGGTAACTGATGCTATATGAATATATCATAGAGTTGACCAACATAACAAATTGCTTACCTTTCTGGATAAAACACACAGGAATAAGAAAATGAACATTCCCTGGAAGGCATTGCTGATGGTGAAGAGGTAAGCTGTCACCACGGATGCGTGTACAACATGAAGGACCCCAAAGATCCAGGTGGTGCCAAGAAGGAACAGGAGAGCAAGGGCTCCTCTGGCACAAGACCTAGAACACGTTTGAAATGACCCAGTTCAGAAAGTTATGTATACTCAGATCCCCAGCTTCCTCAAATCATGTCGGAAATTAGCTTGTGGTATAAGTGAGAAATCTCTTGCAAAAACCTATAACAATTTTGAAATGGAAAGACTCTGCACAGTTACATGGGACAGCCTTGAGAGCCTGCTACTGCACTGTGGCAAGGATGGGCTTCCGAAGTCATGATAGCATTATTAAAATAAACAAGTTTTCAAGGATCTTTTTAATCATAAAAATATTTGTTATCTGTTGTACTGCATCGTGTGTGCTTTGATTTCATATCTAATGTTGCAGTAATTCCCAAAGGTAACACATATATTTGTGAGGAAATATTTTCTATAAAAATTCTTAAAAAGTATACCATGCAAATTGTGGTCAGCACATATAACTCACATCAAAGAAAACTTTCCTTTCCAGTTCAGTAAAATATAAAATTAGATTTTATTTTATTGCTTTTCTAATACCATTACCTCCAAATAAATTCATGTCAAAAATACTAATTTCATTAAAATAAAAAAATAATGCATGTTCATTCTCACTCTTACTTATTTTTAGCCTTTATCCTATGACTTTTGTTAAACCACTATTCAATCCTGCTTACGGCCTTAAGAATGAGGCAACTAATGATTATTTTTTCATTTCTTTTTAGTCTAAGTATTCCTTATGCAGAAGATGTTTCAGCAGTGTACTCCATAACATTAAAATCAGCACACTATGTGAAACTATGAATGGTGAGTAGTAAAAGAATATAACCAATCAAACATTTGCTAAATCTTAACTATAAATCTTATGCAAGGTAATGAAACTACAGTAGTGTTTCCAAGCAATCCAAACATCAGTTATGTCTAATGCTCCCTATAATACACTGAAGTTTCCCTAAACAAACTTTTTCACACTCTTAGTAAATCAATGTTAAAGAGGGTTTAAAGGAAAAATCATAGCCTCATGTAAACTAGGAAACACAAGGAAGAAACTCAGTTACAAAGCTTTGAGAAGTGTTTTGCAAAAAAAAATCAGTTAGGCCCACTTTTTCTTAAAATGGACATTGTCTTTTCTTTCAAAGAGAAGTATGCTTGAAAAGATTGTTTTACTTACCATGTGGTAATTGTAGGCTTATTAAACATACTAAATGCTACTTAACAGAGAGTACTTTAAGTGTAGAGGAAGGAAGCATGAAAAATCATTCAAAATTTGTCCTTTCAAAACTTATTTGTACCTTAAGTTACTAAAGTTTTTAATTACACACACACACACAAAAGTAGACTCAAAGGAACATTTATTTACCTTATGTTCTCATAGCAACTAACTTCTGGTTTCAACCCTGCAGTGTGACGAAAAACTTTGTATATGATAAATCCAAAAGCCAAGAGATTAACCTGAGAAAATAAATTAATTTCAAAGGAGATAATTTTCATAGTAAATTATATGCACATAAAGGAAATGAACAAATAGTAAAGATTTCAAATCATCAGAAACCTGAAAATCGTGGCATTTTTATATGCATTACAAAGTGCAAATACTCTGGTGCATTTAGCCAAAACAAATCTGTGGTTGATTTTTACAACATCACTAAAAGTGTTAGTACACATGGTGATTAGTACAATTTACCAAATTGGACTAAGCAATCTATTAAAAAAAACTTCAGATTTAATTATCACATCTATAGATTGATGAGTATCATCTGCTGCCAATATTATGATCAATATACATATTCAGATAAATTTTGGTTTGAAAAACTTTATGAACACTTGAGAAATCAAACATTTGTTCATTAAATCATGTTTGTTTGTTTTTAAGGAGACATGCTAGTGGTAATTCTGTGAACCCTTTAAATGAAAAGAGAAATTGAGAGGAAATTATTATAGAAAACTCAACAAAACACTTTCAATTTCTATTGCTAGAAAATGTTTGAATGTACTTTCTTTTATAAAGTTCATCTAGCTATCTGTTTTAATATTTATGTTGAGATTTGATTTCCCTAGATTTAACTTCAGAAACTTTAAAATGTCAATCAATGAAATGTTTGTTTGAAGGCATATATACATTTTGTTGATAAATATTTAGCATTCCTATGTTTTTGGAAACCTGTAAGTCATATTAAAAGTATCAGAGGTCTAATTGAGATATATATTTTAAATGAATATCTATATTAATATGAGCATATTAATACATTTTAAATATTAAATATTATAGAAATAATTTGTATATTAATCCTTTATTGAATATATTTTATTAATCCAACAGATTTTCAAAAGCCATTTTGTAATAACAATAGCAAAGTGCAATATTTTAATTTTCAGCTAATTTTTACATGAGTATTCAAGAGCTCACAGTTATGGAAAGATTCTGTGACATATCTTAGGGCATTTTATATTGCTTCTCAAAATAAAATTTAATAATTATTGTTATAAAAAGCAGTTTTATATAATGGCTCAGATAATTTTATGTTGTCATTGCTCCATGGAGAAGTCCTTGAGAGAAATAAGGTTTAATCCCTTTTTCCTGCTTCCAAATGTTTATTACTTCTAATTATACAATTAATTAATTCTAATTACATTAATGCTTCCATACAAAGAAAAAAAACTTTAGCAATTGCAGAGAGAAGATAAAGTATATTTAATAAATTTAGTTGACAGTTTCATCTAACTGTATACTCAAATAACTAATTGAATGACAATTTAATTTTATAAATAATCTTTACTACTTATGAAAAAGAGATGTATTATATTTTCTAGGTTTCTATACCTAATGCTTTTTAAAATAAATTTGGAAACAATGACTGTATTTAGTTTTATAGATATAACAATTTTTAAATAATAAAAATATTAAAATTTTGTTAGTATAAATAATATATTCAACACATTATTGGCTTAAAAATCTTCAAATACATTTTATAAGATGTTTATATTGAACTTATCTCAACAAAGGAAGAGTTATAACAAAACAACTTCAAATGATAAAAATTATTCTCTAATGCATCATTTTTCCAGGAGTAATTTATGAAGGTCATTAAATAAAGTTCTTAAACTCCTGTTTTCAACAAAATATGTTTGAAAAATAGTTGCTCATACTGCTATGGTTTCTCAGAAGTGCTGATACAGTTTGGACATACTCTTCTAAATCATATGGTAAAGAATAGAAATGGAACATTCTCTATAGGTGATCCCATTCTGAAGAGTACATTTTTTTTTCTGTACCAAAGGGAAAATATTTACATACTTGTAAAACCAAGTGCTTCTGGATCAGTAGGAGACTAATCCCTATTCCATAAACTCATATTTTTCCAATTGTAAGAGAAAAGAGGTTAAACATGTTTATCGAAAGGTATTATGGTCTTATGAAATGAAAATAATCACACATTGTGTTATCCACCAACATTGATAATAATATAAATATATGGAACTTTTTATTTTCATTTGTAAAGGGCCCATTGAGTGTCTGATATAGTGGTGAGAGCTGGTACATACTAGTGAACAAAAGATACGTTGTCCTTTGTTCTCATAAACTTATGAAGAAGAAGATAGTAAACAATCTTAGAAATCTACAAATTGTGATAAGTACTGTTAAGTCACAAATTTAGACTGTTAAGAGTGACAAGATGGGGCTAGATTAGAAAGAAGATTTTGGAAGTACCTATCTTAAGATTTAGCGTTTAAACTAGTACCTGATCAATTATAATGCATTAGCAAATCAAGAATGAGGGGAGAAATACATTCTATGAATAAAAATAAAAAAAAGCAAAGAGGTGCGAGAGAGTTGAGAATGTGCTGTGCCTTTAAGTAATTAACAGCAGTGGCTGGGGTGTAATAAACACAGAGAAGAGTCCCATGAAGGAAGGTGGGTCAGGGAGACAGAGATAGTTCTTGAATTTTATCTTTTTTAAAAAATATATATATTTTATTGATTTTTTTTTACAGAAAGGAAGGGAGAGGGATAGAGAGCTAGAAATATCGATGAGAGAGAAACATTGACCAGTTGCCTCCTGAACACCCTCTATCAGGGATGTGCCTGCAACCAATTTACATGGCCTTGACCGGAAATGAACCTGGGACCTTTCCGTCCGCAGACCGACGCTCTACCCACTGAGTCAAAACGGTTTGGCTTGAGTTTTATCTTAAATACAAAAGGTTTTTATTTATTATGTTATTCAGTAATCACACAAAAAGTAATGTAGAGCTTTTCCTCAAGGAACTCACAGAATAATGGAGAAGATGAACAATCAGTAGGAAAGTTCAATACTATTCAGCTTGTGTATGCAGTTGTCTGCATTGCAAAGAATACAGGTGAAGACACCCTCATGTTTTGATTTCTAAGCCAATCTCAAATGAGCAGAACCAAAAGAATTGCAAAACAGAAAACAAATGAGCACTTTGGATCCCAGCCATTGGACCTACCTATGTACACTCATTTCCCAGGTGATCACATCCTGTGACTCAAAATACTATCTTTAGGTCCTGTCTGACCTCACCACTCAGAAATCTAATAGGCATCCTGGATTAAATTGTCAAAACCCAAACTGGTATTCTTTCTTCAAGGAACTTATTTTTGCTGCAATCTTGCCTGACTCAAAAACAACAACAACAAAACAATACACACACACAAAACAAAAAGTAAAAAAAGCAAAAAGTTATCTCATCTTTCTAGCAGATCAGGCATATTTATCAGCCAAACCTTCACCTCTACTTTCAATTCCTATTTAGAATATCTCTACCACGCTCCATCTGCACAAGCCCTACCCTAGAAAGGGCCACCATCGTGTCTCCCTGGGCTACTAGAAAAGCCTTTGAATCAGTCTCTCCTTCTAGCTTGCTTTCCTACAGTCCCTTCTCATGACAGAAGACAGATCTCTACAAAATGTAAGTTAGACCATTTCTCTATTCAGAACCCTGGAATGCTTTCCATCTCAGAGTTAGACCTGAAGATTTCACAATGGTCCCTAGGATCTGAAGGGATATAACACTTCCCGTAAGTCCTACTCCACCTTCTGATCCTATCACATTGGATTTTTTGTTCTTCCTCCAGCACACTGAGCATGCCTTCAGGGTGACTGTATTTGCTGAGCGCTCAGATATTCTCCTAGCTAATTCCCTCACTACCTCTGCTTAAATGCAGCTTTTCCACATACTGCCTCCCAGTGTACTTTCATGAAAATTTAGAACACAAACGATAAGTCATACCTGAGATCAATTCCATGGAAATGTAGAGAATGATGGTATTCTTTACCATGTGAACAATGCTGATTCTGTATGCCAACATGCCCTTCCCTTGCCTTCGTCACTGGCAAACTGACAAAGACTTTCCTCCACTAAATGTTTGTTAGTTTCTTCTGAGCCCTCTTCTAGGCCTTAACCTACAGTTTCAGTGCCCACCCTTGCACAGTCAGCAATTTTGGTAAGAATACTGGTAAGTCAGCTTAAAGATGATCTTCCAGGGAAGTCAGACATCCCTCTCACAATCCAGGACTGCTGGCTCCCAACTGCTTACTTGCCTACCTTCCTGATTGTCCCTAACTGTTTCTGCCTGCCAGCCTAATCACCCCCTAACTACTCCCCTACCAGCCTGATTGATGCCTAACTGCCCTCCCCTGAAGGCCTGTTCACCCCTAACTGCCCTCCCCTGTAGGCCTGGTCACACCTAACTGCTCTCTCCTGCAGGCTTGATTGCCCCCAACTGCCCTCCCTTGCAGGCCAGATCACCCACAACTGCCCTCCCTTGCATACCTAGTCCCTCCCAACTGCCCTCCACTGCTGGCCATCTTGTGATAGCCATCTTGTGTCCAAATGGGGACAGCCAGCTTTAACCACATGGGGGCAACCATCTTGTGTGTTGGAGAGACAGTCAATTTGCATATTACTCTTTTATTAGATAGGCTATACGTCATATATATAATAAAATCATAATATACTAATTGTCTGGTTGCCCATTCAACCAATCAAAGCCTAAATGTTAATTATATGCTAAGGCTGCTCAACCACTCACTATGACATGCACTGATGACCAGGGGGCAGATGCTCTGACCTGTAGGTTAGCTTGCTGCTGGTGTCCGGCTGATCTGGACTGAGTGAGATGGGCTGGACATGCCCTGGAGCCCTCTCTAGGTCCCTCCCCGGCTGGCCAACTCCCTGGCCCTGATCATGCACCAGTGGGGTGCCTTGGCCTGTCTTGTACCTTCTCACAATCTGGGACAACTTGGGGGATGTTGGAGATTTGGTTTTGGCCCAATGGAGAACTACCAGTCACTATGATATGCACTAACACCAGGGGGCAGAGCTCATTACAGGAGCTGCCACTGGTGGTCAGTGCACTAAAACAAAGGGATTGGCCCTCAGACAGAAGCAGGGCTCACAGCTGGGGAGTGCAGCAGCAGCCCTAAGGA